ATTAAAGATTTCTTGCTATTGTGCAATACACTGTGCTGTTGTGCAATACTTAATAAATCTGTTGTCAGACTTTAAACAAATAAAGTTCAATTTCTTCTCAATTTCATATTTGAAATTTATGAAAATCAATAGGGAGATTACGTCAATAGCTATAAATAATTCACCAAAGTTTCATGCGAACTGCTTAAAGCATTTTTGAGTTGTTGTCCAAAAACTGGAAAATCCCCCCTTTTTTAATGAATAAAACCCCATAACTCAGAAATGTAAAATCTAAAATTAATAAAATTCTAAAGGGAGCTTACGGATTGATAATTTAGTCTTAGATGCAAGATTTTTTTTATCAGTTGTTAGTGGCTTTGAACTAGCTGTCAGTTACTGCGAGTACTCTCAGATCTGTACTTAGTGTCTTTTTGTTGTTTGGATGTACAACTACCCGGCCACGTCCACTTGTATTTGTATTTATCCATCTGATGAGTTAAGCCTCTTTCAACTGATTTTTATAGGTCGTTCTTATATTGTACTGTTACACCACTGTCCCAGGTTAGGGGGAGGGTTGGGATCCCGCTAACATGTTTAACCCCGCCACATTCCGTCTGTACATGTATGTGCCTGTCCCAAGTCATGTATATCAGGAGCCTGTAATTCAGTGGTTGTCGTTTGTTTATGTGTGGCATATTTGTTATTCGTTCATCTTTTGTACATAAATTAGGCTGTTAGTTTTCTTGTTTGAATTGTTTTACATTGTCATTTCGGGGTCTTTTATAGCTGACTGTGCAGTATGGGCTTTGCTCATTGTTGAAGGCCGTACTGTGACCTATAGCTGTTAATTTCTGTGTCATTTGGTCTCTTGTGGAGAGTTGTCTCATTGGCAATCATACTACATCTTCTTTTTTATATTTACATCAACAGATATGAACAATTCACCAAAGTCAAGGTGAGACAACAAAACTTAGTTGTAAGATATCTGAAATTTTTTACACGGTACGAGTTTTTCTCATTGTTGGAGATTGTACGGTGACAGTAACACCTGTAACTGCTTAAACCCATTTCTTATGCACTTTAGTTCGATAAACTCACTGAATATCATACCACATCTCCTTATTTTTATATGCATTACAATTTATATGTGCATGTAATTGTAAATATATATATATCAGAACAAAATTCATAGCGTCACTTTTATTTATGCATCCTTTGGCACAATACAAGTTCTAAAATTACACAACATAAAACAACTAATGTTATTTCAGATGAAAGTTTTGTTTCAGTTCCATTCATAGGATTTATTAGAATTTTGTATGTTTTGCCAAGTCCAATAATTCGCTCTATGTGCACGTGTTAATTGGAGACTTTTCTACCCTGTACAAGAGTTTTGGAACTAATTCTGTTTCTTTTTTTGAAAAAAGTTAGCAAACAAATCTTGCACATTTAAACCTTTGTCTGCCATCACACTGTCAACTGGATCACATAATTGAACTATTCTACATCTTTCAACTATTTCACAGTCACTGGTACAACCAACATATGCATTAGAGACACAGTTGACTAAACCACCAGGTGTCGAACATACAAGTATTTTCAGTGTTTCTGATTTTATATGTGTAAAGGTTGCCTGAGCTCTAAGAGCTTTAGGTTTTATCACGGGATATTCTGTGCTGTCAATAATAATCCAAGTTGTAGGAAACTTTAATTTGAAGTTGGATGGCGAAAAATACCTGACTAAACCACTAGATGGCCAAGTGTTAGCCTCACGCCACTGTTTAGACATAAAAACAATCCATGTATACACAATATTCTTAACACTAGATTCAATCTAGACAGTTCAAAGTTGGTTGTATAATGCCTCAATTTCATCAAAGTCATAAAAAAACTGACACCCTATCAATTTGAAAATATATGTATCTCAAACAATGTGCTGCTGGACCAAGTGTGGTCAAAACAAATAAAAATTTAGTATACAACTCTAAACCGGTATAAAAATGCATGGCTGTGTCACATGTCTTCATTCCAAAATTCTCTGCTGAAAACATAGGCATTGATGGTGTTTGCGTAATTCCATCTGTGAAGCTCAAAATTAGCTCGGCAGTTGGGGGTGGACAGTCATAAATCCTTTCTGCAGTATGAATGACTTCTTCAGGAAAACCAACTTTACAATCAAAACTTTCCTCTAGATTTCTACTACAATATTCATCAAGTTTAGTTCTTTTGTTTTCACAGGAAACTGCCCTGATTTTTCTTTTTGCGGACGATTCAGTCTCTTGCTTAATCCAGGAAAATAGGCTGGGAATGGCAGTAGACTTAAGTCTCTGTATGGTGGGTTTGCGCCCTGAAAAAGGTTATAAAACATTAGTTTTTTGATAATTAAATGAACTTCCATTAGCAATGTATACTTTGTACTACCTGGCAAAATATTAACTAAATGTAGATTTATTCATTACAATCTGGATAAAACTATGTTTGCCTGATTCAATGTATGTTATGTAAATCCAAAGGACAAACAATGAGAGACTTATGCAACAAACGTGCACTGTTTGTACCTAAATAACCATAATATAGATGAGAGCATGTCATTGTTTTGTTCCTGTTAACATTGTCATTGATATTTTTCAAGAAAGTCTATGAGGCATTACTACATTAGCATAATTACTGCTAAAATAATTCTCAGTATGATATACCTCTTGTAAGAAATCATTATAATTGTAGCAATCACCAAAAAATCTCAAACAGATCACAATGAATCGTAATCCAAAAAATTATGACGTCTTGAATTAACCACCCCCTTTTATTCTAAAACGATAATTGCGGTTGTAAACAGACTTTGGTTTATTCGCATGGCGATTACATATATAACTATATATTTCAAAAAGAAAATAGAGTTTTACCATGAATAGTTTCCTGCACGTAGTCTTTTTCAATAAAATGTGCCTTGCAAACAACAGCTGATTGAGATGCTCAGATGGACTCCACGATTTCATCGTGTTCTCGTCCAATCTGCGTATGGGCCATGGCGTTGATCCAACTTTTCCTTCTTTTTAAGTCATTTGGAAATGCATGTCCTCCTCTTAAATGACATCCAGGTACACGAAAACAAGTACTTGGCATCGTTAGTTAAAAATGTAACTGTAATAGTTGCACAGTGCAGAAAACGGAAGTTGAGGAACAGGATCGGTTACAACGGCGCCACCTTTTCAGGAACGATAATTTGCTACTTTATATAACTGCGAAATAACAATAACGTTAGACGGGTTGACGTGCATAAACAGAAATGCGCTTTAAATTGTATAATATAATTCATGTTCAGTCGACCTTTAATTATTATATCAACGACTGAAATGATTTATTAACATCTAGATTGCAGATAACACTCGAAATTAACCCGACCTCTTTCCACACGGAATTCAAATAATTCTAGTTTGTCAATCGGTTGACTGCTTATAATGCAAAATACAAATATATCAAAAGTTTTTAAAACTAACAAAACACAATGATCGTTTCTCTATTTCCCAATGTAAATGAAATGAAACAAAAAACATTTTATATCACAATAAGAAGAGGAGAAAATTCAACATTTCCGGATCTACTTGGAGCCTAATGAACCCCCACGTAGATAAGTTGGATATCGCGGAATGAAAGATTAACCCGGCAACCAGAAAGGCATTAAAGCACTGCCTTTAAAAAAGCACTAAAAATTAAAGCATTAATTATTTGCAGGCATTGCATTGGCATGAACTACCATTCCAGGTAACAATAAGTTTAGAAAGTTGGTTAAAATTGTTTTCATCTCTAAAACTCTGGGGTAGTTCATTCCATAACTTTGCAGCTGTGTATCTAAAAGAATTGATGCCATAGCTTGTTGTTCTCACCTGGGGCTGTTCAACTGTATTTTTATATCTGAAGGAATATTTGTGATTTTTTATATTAATCAAATCGCCGTGTAAATAAGATGGACTCTTTTTGTGTATAATTTTAAAAGTTTCTATAGCTATTGCTCTTAATCTTCTGACTTTAAGAGGTGGAAGTTTGAACTTGTGTAAAAGATCTTCATATGAGCTATCATAATCCTCATAAACAAATCTCAAGGCTCTCTCTTGGATTTTTTCCATCTTAAATGGTTTTTCTCACTACAAAAATGCCAGGTGAAAGCATGGAACCTTGCGGAACACCTTTGAATATAATTTCAAAATTACTACAAATATTATTAATCTTTACACATTGTTTTCTGTTTTGTAAGTAGCTCTGTAATAAATCTATAAAACTATTTGATAAACCATAAGTTTTCATTTTTAATAATAATAATTCATGCGGCAAACAGTCGAATGCCTTTGATTGATAAGTCCATCAATATTGCTGCAACAAATTTGTTATCGTCCAGTGCCTTCTTCCAATCCTCAATTACTTTAAGGAGGGCAGTTTGACACCCATATCCTGATCTAAATGCAGATAACAGGGGGTTAAAATGTTTTTGAAAAAACTCAGCTAGTTGATCAAAAATAGCACGTTCGTAAACTTTGGATATACTTGGCAACACACTGACTGGGCGATAATTTCCTTTGTCCAGCATATTGTTTTTCTTAAAATAGTGGTCTAACCTAGGCCACCTTTAGCTTATCTGGAAAAACTGAAGTTTTAAAACTATTAGTGTTTTAATAGGACTAATAATTATAGGTTTTGCAAATTTTAGCATTTTGGCTGAAATACCATCATACCCTGTAGCATTTTTAGCATTAAGCTTATCTATTTGCTCTCTGATAAAGTCATCTGTCACAGGCTGACGTGTTATACAGTTATAACAAGGTAATAATTCAGACACGTTTGAGCGAGGAATATAATCAGACATGTCGATGGGGAGGGGGGGGGGGGGGGGCGTGTTTGGTGATAAGCTAAAATGGGCATTTCGGTGAGGTGGACACTTTTGAGGGAATGGCCACGTTGGAGTGTTACACATGTATGGGTTAATGAGATTGAAATTATAAAAAAAAATGTATAAATAAAAAAGGCAATTAGAATAAAAATTTAATACAAAAAGGCAATAGGAATAAAAGTAAAATAAAATAATGTGAGTCATAAAACTGAATTCTAACAGTGTATAATTATATTTGTTTTACTCGTATGATGTTAATTGTTATAACAGTACTAGTAATCAAGCGATTATTAAAACAGTACTACTAATCATGCGAGTATCACAACACATTCCACATAGTCCCAATCTTCTTGTCATTCACTACAACTTTCACGGTGTACTGAAAACGCATGGGTATTAGTCCGTTATTTCCACGTGGTGTTAAATATGGAATACTGTTGATAAGAGTAACAACAAGACAAGCAAACATTAATATGTACTGGTAAGCTCTGCCTGCACAAAATTCTTGAAGCATAAAATTTGTTCGAGCATTTTGAGTCGCTTGTTCGCATTGTTCACACATAACATCTTGATATGTTTGTCTTAAACACGACGGACATAATATCTCGCCAGTTTCATTGGCTGACATTAAAGATGTAGTTTCATTGGCTGACATTAAAGATGTATGAATATTGCATAACCCATTCAAATCTTCTTTTCCTATGAGGAGGAAGGGGGTTGTGTCGATCAGGAATGTCAATACACTGATTTGTGCAATTGACACCAACAAAACATATCGAAACATTTTAAAATCTAATCTGAAAAAGAAAACAAATAATAACTTCAGGATATGCAACATTTATGCAAATATTTTTATTTTGAATGAATTTTCACATTTGTTTTGTATTTGTACAAATATAAATATCAACAGCACATTACCGATGCTAGTTGAAATAAATCCTAAGCACAAACAATAAACACAAACAGACACATTAGTGCAAAAGCAGTCGGAATTGCATAAACTCCAAACGAAATGATATCAAGTCCAACGACAGGGTAGTCATCTGCCAAGAATGCAAACCATGTAATATCACTAACAAGTCATACCCAGCATCTGTCAACTTGCCAAAATCGCTCATGACTTAGGCGGACATATTGACATGGTGGTGAACTAATAACCTTAGGATAAAACATTTCGGTCGTTTCTTCAATATTAACTTCCTGGAGATATTTAAGTGAAAAGTTTATTTTTTAATGAAATAGTCTACATGCTTTGTCATTTGGTATCAACTGAGATACGCTATAACAAACAAAAAAGACTGCTAATAGTACTTACAAATTTCTTAACCATAATTATTCGAATTCTCCTGACATTTAGAGCTATTTGAATTTGAACGTTTTAAAAGGTACATTAAATAAATTGTGAATTCGTCTTCCTCTTTTTACTTGAATGTATGCTTGGGCTTCACCATATTTTAGATATACTAACAGTGTTCATCCGAAAGTTTACGATACGACTATGTTGAAAATTGTAACTTTTATTGAAAATTTGTCCACAAGCTTAATTAAAAATCTTGGAAAGCAACACAAACCTCAATACAAACCTCATCAACAATTAAAAATTGTCATCGTAATGAGCACTATTTCATAACTTACGTTCATAAATGGTTTATATAATATAATACTTAAGCTAATTCAAACATATTACCATCAATTTAATGATTTTAATTTTTCTTACCTTTTATATTTCATATATTAACTGTTCTTGGATGTTCGCAATGCATAGCAATAATGAAGGAAAATAATCACAGGAAAATACATGTAACTAAAAATAGAACAATGGGATTTTCCCAGGTATATTTTGTGTATGCATGACAGTGATTAGCTATTTATAGCGGATTTCCGACATTTTAAAAACAAATTAAATTTTCTCTGGGATTTTTTCGAATCTTGTTCCTTTTTTACTTTTCATGTATGTCTTGGTCTTCTCAGTCGTAAAAAGTATGTATTGCATTTTTCCATTTTAAAATACTAACTTATCGTAATTTTTAACACTTATACAACTTCTAAAAATTAAAGTCAAATTAAGCTTTTGCTGGTGTTTTCACATGATCACCATTCGTTCAAGTTTGTGTCTTAATTCGTATTAGAAAACTTTGTATGTGTTCATTTATTACAAAATAGTTTCTATTTAGATTTTTTGTTTAAACGTATTATAAATGCGTTATTGATTTTCTGATTTTCTCTCTTTTTTTGACCCCCCCCCCTATATTTGTATAAGAAATACAAAAGGTAGGAAAAAGTGTAATGTAATCATTAGATTATTTGTATGTTTACATTGGTTAAGGTATTATATTATACGAAAGATACCAAAAGGATATTCAAACTCAATAGTCGAAAGCGAACTGACTATGCCATATGTCAAAACACTAAAAACTACCAAAAGACAAAGGTCAAACATACAACATAGAAAACTAAAGATTGAGAAACACGAGACCCACCAAAAACCACGGTAAGTAACTGATAATTGTATTAAAAACGTGTTGTTCACATTGAAATTAAGTTATCATATTATATGTTTGGTATTTTTTTTATCCCCCCCCCTCTTTTTGTAATTTAGTGTCTAAATAAGTAAAATGAAAATTTTCAATATCATATCTTTTTAGCAAACGTTACATATGTAAAATATACATTCTTGATACCGACTTCAGTGATATATTTGATCTGACAGAAAAAAATTTGAAAGAGGAATTAAAATAAAAATCATATTCACTTGTGAAATGTCAAAATTTTAGTAGTTTATTTTAGGAATAGATACGGAAATTCCCCATGTTATATTGTCCAATAAAACGATTGTGGATTATCTAAAAAGTTTAATAGTGTTACGTAGTCTATTTAAAAAAATCCCCATAGATATATTTCGTATCATACTGAATAACATTTTCAATGTGGATTATTCTTGAAGTTTGATAATTGAGTTCCCACCTTATATTTGTATTATTGCATAATTTATCAATGATCTGAATAGTATCATTCAAAAAATCATTTGAAACCGACCAAGCATAAGTTTTTGAACGGAAGGTACCCGTTGATTAACAGTTCATCGGCAGAGGTACGTATACCAATCTAGAATTTTGAATCTAAATTGAAATGTGATGTATTAATTATCTCGTAAATATCTCGTAATTACGAGAAAACTATCGCGTAATTACGAGATAATCATTTCTTAACTCGTAATTACGAGATAATTATCGCGTAATTACGATAAAAATATCCCGTAATTACGATATAATTATCGCGTTATTACGAGAAAACTATCTCGTAATTACGAGATAATCATTTTTTTTATCTCGTAATTACGAGATAATCATCGCGTAATTACGAGAAAACTATCGCGTAATTACGAGATAAAATAAACTGTTTCGCTGAGCGCAGCTGGATACGCCCGCAGAGGTCCAACCCTGAACAGTTGGGGCAAAAATGGACACAATATTCAAGCTTGATACAGGTCTGAATTTGGATTGTAATTAAATATTTGACATATTATAGGTTTCTGAATAAATGTAGTCAAAGAACTTGAAATTGGTTTTATGAATTGAATTTATATTCAATTAAAGATTTCTTGCTGTTGTGCAATACACTGTGCTGTTGCGCAATACTTAGTAAATCTGTTGTCAGACTATAAACAAATAAAGTTCAATTAATTCTCAATGTCATATTAGAAATTTATGAAAATGTAAAGGGAGCTTACATCAATAGATATAAACTATTCACCAAAGTTTCATGAGAACTGCTGACAGCATTTTTGAGTTATTGTCCGAAAACTGGAAAATCACCTCTTGTTTATACGACCGCCAAAAATTATTGCGGTCGTATATTGGTATGACGTTGGCGTCGTCGTCGTCGTCGTCGTCGTCGTCGTCGTCCGAAGACACATTGGTTTTCGCACTTTAACTTTAGTTTAAGTGAATGGATCTCTATGAAATTTTACCATAAGGTTAAATACCACAAAAGGAAGGTTGTGATTGATTTTGGGGGTTATGGTACCAACAGTTAAGGAATTAGGGGCCAAAAAGGGGCAAAAAATAAGCATTTTCTAGTTTCCAGACAATAACTTGTGGAACGGATATGGATCTCTCTGAAATTATACCACAAGTTTCCATACCACAAAGGGATGGTTAGGATTTGCTTTGGGGGGTTATGGCTCAAACCGTTTAGGAATTAGGGGCAAAAAAAGGGGAAAAACAAGGTTGTCCTGGTTAATGGACAAATAGTTTAGTACAAAACATAATTTAAAGCAGTGTAAGGGAGATGAATCAAATACATCATTTGAATTACCTCCCTTACACTGCTTTTAAATTATGTATAAAGTAATGGTTAATGAACAATTAAGACAATTTAAAACAGTGTAAGGGAGGTAATCCAAATACAACGTTTTGATTACGTCCCTTACACTGCTTTTAAATTATGTTTAAAGAAATGCATATTTATAAAGGAAGACCAGTAAAAATATCTGCAAATGTTGCATATTTTTTTTTTACAAAAAAATCCATATGAAAGATTTGACACCATATTTTAAATTCTATTATTTAATAGTTTAAGTTAGCACTATGGTAAATTTAAATGGGTAATTATGGTTGCAAACTCCATTGGAAATTTGAATTGAGATTATGACCATATCTTGAGGGAAAGAATTTTTTTGGGGAAAAAGGGGGGGGGGGGGGTCAAAAAGAAATTGTGCGGGGTCAATTTTTTCTCATTTCAGATTTCAGAAATAAAAAGGATTATTCTTCAAATATTTTTTTTTTTCAAATTTTAAATATTGAAAAATTTCAAGAAGTAATCTTTAATTGCACAGTATGGCGCATTAGATTTGTAAAATCTTTGACCACACACATTTATTTATTTGTTATGCCGAATCTGACCGTGTATTTAGATTTTTAATTTTGGGTCCAGTTTTCAAATTGGTCTACATTAAGGTCCAAAGGGTCCAAAATAAAACTTAGGTCGATTTTAACAAAAATTGAATATATGGGGTTCTTTGATATGCTGAATCTAAACATGTATTTAGATTTTTGATTTTGGGCCCAGTTTTCAAGTTGGTCCAAATTGGGGTCCAAAATTAAACTTTGATTGATTTCAACAAAAATTGAATATATGGGGTTCTTTGATATGCTGAATCTAACCATGTATGTAGATTTTTTGTTTGTGGGCCCCGCTATCAAATTGGTTCATATTGAGGTCAAAAGGGTCCAAAGTTAAACTTTGTTTGATTTCATCAAAAATTGAATTATTGGGGTTCTTTGATATGCCAAATCTAACCGTGTATTTAGATTTTTAATTTTGGGTCCCGTTTTTTAAATTGGTCTACATTAATGTCCAAAGGGTCCAAAATTAAACTTAGTTTGATTTTAACAAAAATTGAATTCTTAGGGTTCTTTGATATGCTGAATCTAAACATGTGTTTAGATTTTTGATTATGGGCCCAGTTTTCATGTTGGTCCGAATTGGGGTCCAAAATTAACCTTTGTTTGATTTCAACAATAATTGAATATATGGGGTTCTTTGATATGCTGAATCTAACCATGTATTTAGATTTTGGATATTGGACCATAATAGGTAAATTAAAAAAAATTAAGTTCTTAGACCACATTCATTCTGTGTCAGAAATCTATGCTGTGTCAAATATTTAATCAAAATCCAAATTCAGAGCTGTATCAAGCTTGAATGTTGTGTCCATACTTGCCCCAACTGTTCAGAGTTCGACCTCTCCGGTCGTATCAAGCTGCGCCCAGCGGAGCATTTTATTAATGAATAAAACCCAATAACTCAGAGATGATAAATGAAAAATTTATAAAATTCTAAACACAGCTTACATCAATAGATATAAACAATTCACCAAAGTTTTATAAGAACTGCTGAAAGCATTTTTTATTTTTTGTCCGAAAACTGGAAAATCACCCTTTTTTTATGAATAAAACCCTGTAACTCGGAAACGTAAAATCTAAAATTTATAAAAAACGAAAGGGATCTCACGTCAATAGACATAAACAATTCACCAAAGTTTTATGCAAATTAGTTAAAGCGTTTTTGAGTTAATGTCCGACATGTTGACGACGGACGGACAGACGGACAGACAACGGTATACCATAATACGTCCCGTAAACGGGCGTATAAAAATGATTATCTCGTAATTACGAGATAAAAAAATGATTATCTCGTAATTACGCGATAGTTTTCTCGTAATTACGCGATGATTATCTCGTAATTACGAGATAAAAAACTTCTTATTTCGTAATTACGCGATAGTTTTCTCGTAAATACGCGAGGATGATCTCGTAATTACGAGATAATTATCTCGTAATTACATGATAGTTATCTCTTAATTACGCGATAATTATCTCGTAATAACGCGATAGTTTTCTCGTAATTACGCGATAATTATTTCGTAATTACGAGATAAAAAATGATTATCCCGTAATTACGAGATCAAAAATGATTATCTCGTTATTACGCGAAAGTTTTCTCGTAATAACGCGATAATTATCGCGTAATTACGCGATAGTTTTCTCGTAATTACGAGATATTTATCTCGTAATTACGCGATAAATATTTTTTTTTGTGACCCTTATAGGCTTTCGTAAATATCGTCCTCAATCGAAAAGAAATTGGAAAGAGTGAACGGTCAGGTCATAAAATATGATCTTACTGCCTTTTATAAAAAATGATGTAAACGGGGGAAACACTTGATTCTAAATGGATAAATGTATGAATACTGTGGATATTAGCATATCACATTTTTTTAAACAATTTAGAAATTAACAAAAGAGATACTCATACGCCAGTTTATAGAACTGGAAACAAACTGCAAGTACTTTCAAAGCGGTGTTTGTTCGTATACCGGTCGACAAAGCTAAAAACAATGTGATGGTGATTTAGCGTAAATAATACTTGAAATTATAAATTCTTCTGTATCCAAGGCTGCGTGCTTCGCTGAGAGT